TTGCAAAAGTAATTTCAAGAACCTTAATAAAGTACTAGCGTGACTGCTTAAGTTAAAAAAAAAAAAAAAAAAAAAATGCTACTCAGTCAAAAATTGTGCAAGAAACAATACGCATTACAAGAGAGTTACAGAATGAAGCACTTCTATATCATACACGCATCATGCGAGCTAATTTCATATGCACCTGTGATTTGCTATTGCCTATGGTTAAACCAGCTCCATTACGAACAATTTATCATATGCTAACAGGAGATATGTCAGCTGCTGAATCTGCAAATGAAAAAAAGATAGATAGTCATGTAAAATTAGTTTTAGAGCTTGGTGACCCTGATATTACAGTTGACCTTCGGGAACATAATGAGGGAAGACCAGAAAAATATAATGCTTTTTGGGAAGCAGCAGCCCATTTTCTCTCAGAGAAAGCAGCAGATCTAGTAACCGCAGTTGATGAACGACGTCACGATCCGATTATACACCTTGCTACGGCAATTTCAATAAACAATCTACTTCAACAACTCAAAAATGAATGCCCACTGGATGCGCCAATTCCCAGTGCTCAATGGCTCAGGTTAGCATTCTGGCCTAAAAACCTAACACATCTAACTAGTCTACAATATATGGCTCGCTTACCTTTAAAATTCATGATGCAAACTTGACAATTACGAGTCAATCATCCGGATTCTCACTATGCGTCTGCAATCTTTCGGTATGAAAAAGAGTTTGCTATTAAGTTTTGCAACATTACAACACTTGTTTTTCTGGATGATAAGCACCGATGTAAAATCGGAAAACCTGGTCATCCTATAGCAGCAGTGGAAAAAGTGAAACAAATAATAATAGGAAAAGATACGACATTCGCAGTAAGTGACTATGATTTTGCAAAGGCCGGAATGGTGCCAAGTGTGACAATGTTTTGTGATATTCCTGAAACAATCGATGGAGATTTTTACAAAGGAAAAGTGTGCATTGGTCTTAAAGACCCTATTTTTCAGCCCTCCACTCCCTTACGCTATATGACTAAACTTCATAACATCTTTCTAACACAAAAAATACCCAATCCCATCTTATGCCTTTATACAGACAGTGGTCCTGACCACCGGTGCACATATATGTGAGTTCAGTTATCTTACATTTGTTTATTCTTAGCATTTGATCTTGATTATCTCGTTGCAGCAAGAACATCACCCTTGCATTCCTGGAAGAACCCTGTTGAACGTATAATGTCGACGCTCAATCTAGGATTACAATGCATCGGGTTGATGTGTAGCAAAATGGATGATAAATATGAAAACCTTATTAATAAAGCAAACTCTATAAAAGATATTTGGGAAATTGCAGAATCAAACCCTACCTTGAGAGATGAACTAATAAAAAGTATCCAGGAGCCAATTAGTTTTGTTCGTGAAATATTTGAATGACAATCCTTAAAAGGCGTGCCCTTTAAAACATTTAATGCTGCAACGAACAAAGACATAGAACAGTTTTGGGAGAACATTCTTCTAATCGATGACACTATAACATATGATGATTATGAAATGAAAAATTTAAAACAACAGGTAAAGATCTATTTATACAGTCAACTATAGATATAATGGAATTTTTAAATTATAGCCTATTATGTCTCATAGTTTACTGTAATATAATCTAACAAAAACATAAATCAATAATAACTGTTTTTAAAAGCCATGCTTGAAAGAATTTTTTGACCACTGTTGCATGGCAAGGCATTATTTTTTTACGATAAAAAAGTGTAGTGAGAATAGTTGTTCAATTTGCCTACCACCCCGATGCTCACATGAAACATTTACTCAACTATACAACCTTCCTGATCCTGTTCCTGGAGAAGATTCACATTATAAATCTTTTGGAGAACTTTATGGCACTGATACAATGGAAAAGTACAGACCTTCATGCGAAAAAGCAATTTCTAGAACAAAATATACTCAAACAAGAGGAAGAGGTAAAGGAAAAGTGAACCACACAATCCCTTCTGTCCCTCTGCACTGCATGCCAGAAATGTTGGAATTACTGTTAGTTGTGCAGAATGTGAAAAACCAAGACTATTATTTAGTGCAAAAAAATTACCAGAAAAGGATCGTCAAATACTTTATCGATTTCTCGATACAATCCTATACACCTGCAGAACTGCCTTTCAAAATACCTGTGAGTTATCACTTACTATGCCACCTAGACAACATTATGAATTAGGTAAAATTCCTGAACATGATGACTATAGTTACGATGATGATTCTGTTTCTGGTTCTAGCAATTTTAACCAAAAACATAAAACCAGTAACATTGAGGATGATGAAAGTGATGATGATATGCGAAGTGATAAAAGTAGTGATGAAAATGTACAAAGTGATGAAAGCGATCAAGAAAATGAAATTAATGAAATGGACAATACTTGTCTTAAAGAACCTGATAACAAAAATACAAAAGATGCAGTTAATGACCCTATTAGGGAAATTTTTAAGTATGTTTTCGTCAACGACTCTTGGACCTGTGACTCTTCAATTGAAAAACTATATTATTCAGCATCAATCTATCCAAATGTTTGTTACCTGTGTGGTAGCCTTGATGTCAATCAGCCTGTTCCTCAAGATACCAGACGTACCCCTCGTTCTAATGAAAAATGACCTAAATGCGAAAACTGTGTTAGTTCGAATGGTTCAGCTAAATGACAGAATTTATTTGTCAAAGGTAAAAAGACTAAAAAACGTTCACAGCAAGTTCTCGAGCAGTGAAAATAAATTGATGTGTGTATGTGCACCCCGCACATAATTTTTCGCACACACATTTGTTGGTATATACAATCAAAGACATGTGCCCTTTGTGCACTAAATTTCAAATTTTTGACACTGCTCTAGAAAATAGCGATTTGATGAAAATTTTTTTTTCTCTATAGTAAAAAATAATGTTGATTCATTTATTAGCAGAATAATAAAATGGTTTATTAATACTATCTATTTCTTCGAATGAATAGATAGAATATTGCCATAAAAGTGCGAAATAACGTTATTTCAAAAATAGCATACGTATTTCGAATTAACGCACATCCAAATATAACTAGTGATTACATGTATACTCATCAATCGCCCAGATTCACCTTTATTTCGAAATAACACACATGATCGTACCCGAAATAATGCACACGTTAATTAAATAACGTGAGTGGGAGTTATTTAGTGCCTGTACAGTATCAATTTTTCTTTTTAATTTGTAAAAGCTTGATATACAGAAATGCAACCTGTACAATGTAGTAAGTTAGCATTGGAGTGACTGCTTACTTGATTCAGATAGTGAATAGTTAAGAGTAGCGAACGTGGTGTGTTCTTTGTAATAGATCATAAAATTCCACATAGTTTAAACTAATTACTGAAATGAAATCTAGAACGAATTAGTAAACCTAAAGAGACTGGTAAAAGAGAGCGAAGTAGTTAGATCAAAATTGTACTGTACGTGCAAGGATGAAGGTGTCCATGAAGATAGGAATTTTGAGTAATTAACCAATAAAATTTCAAAAAGAATGACAAGTCAGGTGATTACAGTCACAGGGACAACCTGGTTTATTCATTTAACTAAATAGTCTTTCGCATACTGATAAATCTGATTAGTTAATACTATGCTGCACCTCTAAAATTTAAATTTTTTGACTCAAGTTTTATGACCTGGCCAGGTTATGAGAAACAGAAAAAATTTTTTATATGGCCTTATATATTAAATTTCTATGAATAACTTCAATGTTTTTATTTATTCTTTTATATAATTTAGAAAATCTTCTTTTAAAAATATTCGATAAGCTTACAGAATTAACAGAAAAAGTTAATAGAATCGAAAGACATCTAAATGAATTAGATGATAAAATTAATAAATCTTATAATTGTCACAGAAAACCGATTTTATCAAAGTATTTAAAATAATTTTTATAACTTTTGAAAATATTTGCAATATTTTAAAATAATAAAAATTTTATCTAAATGTTTAGCAATCGGTTAAAGCAATCGCAAAGGATGTGATTAAATATTTGATCTATCCTTCTGAAGAAGAACTAAAAGAGGCAACTAAAGTTTGAATGTCCGAAAATCATCAAGAATATTTTACATCAATGTCAGAGAAGGCATGGAAAACTTATTATAATAAAAACATTGCAGGGCCAGTAAATATCAATTAATAATATTTGAATATTTGCGAATATATTCAAAAATTATAAGTATTTTAAAAATGCTTTGAAATATTTACAACTTTTGAAAACTAAATATAATTTTATTTTGATATAATAAATTTAGCTTTTGAAACAGCACAGATCAGTGTAAAGTGGCCTAACTACTCATATTAAAAATGCAATGTTTGTGGTATATGGCAAAAGCCAGTTAGATTCGATAAATACGAATGCTCCTGCTCAAGAAGTTGTGATATAGAAAGCTTCTACAAAGACCCGACAAAGTTATAGAAAGCTTTTTGATAAAATTAATATACATGACCCAAATTCAGATACTTATATGCAAAAGATTTTATCAAAAATTTGGCCTTTGGAATCTCTATCTAATAATAAAGTTGCATATGCTATAAGCATATGCCAAATAATGCTAAGCTCACATTATAAAAAGTTAATAATGTCAAAAGACATTGTTAAAAATTAACTTAAGAAAAACCTGGTAAGATATTCTATAAGAATTTAGTTTCTATAAGCATTAAATATTCTTAAAATAATTCGAAAAGTTGCACAATATTGTACAAATATTTGATTTGTTTTAAAATAATTTAAATTAATTTAATATTTTTTAATAATTTGAATAATTTTTATTATATAAATAAAATAAAGAATCAGTTAGAGAAAAATCTAGATTTTGCATCACCTGGTGATAATGAATCAACTTTAAGTGAAGATGAGAAAGTAGTGGTTAGCAAAGTAAGTATTAATTAATTTATTTCATATATACAATATCTTTTATTAATTTGATTACAGTTGGCAGGTAAAAGAAGAATGTGAACTCCTTTACAAACTTCTAAAAGGGTAATTATAATATTAATAACTTATACAATTATTTTCATTTTTATTCTTATAAAAACTTTA